GCGACGACCTCTTACATCCGCGACGGCCTCTTGCATCCGCGACGGTCTCTTGGATCCACGTAGACATCTTTAATCCGCATAGGTAACCTTCATCCGCGAGAGTCTCTTCGATACCTGCAAGTAAAACCACCCGGTTTTGAAAGGATTTTGAAGTCAGAAGAAAAGAAAAACGAAAATAAATATGGACAGAGAAAGGTCGTCGCTGGAAAGGCAGAAAATGTCATGATTCGCAGGGAAAGGAGGGTCATGAGCTTGCAGAGAAGGGAGCGTCATGAGCTTGCAGAGAACGCAGCATCACCTGACGACGACGCAAGTAGCAGGTCGAACGTCTCGAGTAGCAGGTCGAGCGACGCACGTAGCAGGTCGAACGGCGCACGTAGCAGGTCGAGCGACGCACGTAGCACATTTAGCGTAGTCTCAGGTCGAGCGTCGCAAACAGCTGGTAGAGCTTCGCAAGTAGTGGGTCGAGCGTCGCAAATAGCTGGTAGAGCGTCGCAAGTAGTGGGTCGAGCGTCGCAAGTAGCAGGTCGAGCGTCGCAAGTAGCAGGTCGAGCGTCGCAAGTAGCAGGCCGAGCGTCGCAAGTAGTAGGTCGAGCGTCGCAAGTAGCACATGTAGCGTCAAAAACAGCTCATGTCGCGTCGCTAGCGAGATGCACTGAAGAAACGACGTGGTCGCGTGAAATAGCTTCTTAGCAGCAACTTCGTAGCCTCCATATCCCTAAACAAAACCTTCCATCCGCTAGCCTTCAATCCACCGTATTAGTGTCTTAAATCCACGATTGTTAGAGGTACAGAGTTGGCTAGACCGCCGCGTACTGTGAATCGAAGACGCTCATGACATGATAACTCCAGCAGATCGTCCAGGCAAAAAGCAGCTTATGCTTCTACTACAAAGAAGTTGCTCCGTGGCAAGGCACCTGGAAACGCCACGTTGCCTATAGACCACCAATCTTACGATATTATGCCACGTGTCTGAAATAATCCGTAACGCCAGTAAGGACGAGAGGGAGCCATGGAATTCCGAGCTAAGAAACTCTCTCTGAAATTTGCTGGAACGTGTGGGGGAATGTGAAAAGGATTCCAGGATTGCCTGGCTGGAGAGATGGAGCTCGCGAGCAAGCGAAGGAGGCGAAGTTGGGGGAGGGACAGGATGGAGGCGAAGCCCAAGGCGAAAGAGGAGAGGTGGTTTGCCTTGCCATGGATGGAGCATTCGGCAAGCCCAAGGGGGACGCCGCATGGCCGTGCGTGTGCAGACAGGCAGGGGAAAGTCTGCCGACGTTTTTCCGCCAAAAGGGGGGGAAACTGCGGAAGGTGATGGAGTCAGCGGCGCGGCCGAACGTATCGTCGAAAGTTTCGCCAAAGCAGGAAAACTAGTGCGAGCCTTGTGAGTGGCCTTTGCGAAGCGTAACCGTGGTGGTGCCGTTAACCACTGACAGCTTTCCGACTTCCGCACCTTTGTAGAGGGGCCAATCCCCGCGACCTTTCCTGCGCCAGCGCAGCGCATTGTTTGCGGGTTTTGGCGGGAACTCCGCAGCACTAACTGTAGACAGATAGCCTGAAGATATGTCAATGGTAACTTACATGGGGCACTGTAACGCGTACGGTAACGATTTCAACGCGTTTGGTAACTCGCTTAACGCGTTTGGTAACTCGCTTAACACGTTTGGTCACTCGCTTAACACATTTGGTAACTCTACACTAGCAGCCCATCACGCGAATGGTAACTACATGAAATTCCCGCCGAAATTGAGCCTAATTCTAGTTTTTCCCGCTCGCGTCAGAATAAATTGACGAATCCTGAAGCAGAAACCTCTGACACACTCTCCGAAATTCTGACAGGTTTCCGAAATTCTGACAGACTCTCCGAAATCCTGACACACTTTCCGATTTTCAAGCTAATTGCAAAAACGTAAGTGTTGTGAAAACAATTGTTTATACACAGTTGATATTCTGGTGCTCCTTCCGCAAACTGTTTGTACGTTTTTCTATCGTGCAGCCGGGGCAAACAAATCTATACCCCTTTCAAATGGCAGATAAATTTGAGAGCAACAACCTTAAACTTCTTGCGACCAGGCGTTTATGGTTCTTTATTTAAATTAAGAAACATGTAATTTTCCAGAGGAGTATTTTTCCCACATGCAAATATTCTCCAACGTTGCATTAATTATAAACAGTAAAAATTCCGAGGTCCTTTCGGGAATCTTTTTAAAATCGTTTTGCAAGTTCGTATCAGAATGAGGAATGGATGATGCATTGATGTTGGTTGGGGTACATATAGCTAACCCTAAGTTTTGTACCCCCTAAGACAAACCTCACTATAGGCTACAACATTTGACACACCCCCATAGCCTAAGTGAGGGGTGTCTAGCAGAACCAAACGAGTACGGTCACAAGACCAGTCCAAGAAACGAAGCTCAGGGTGGATCACAACGTCACCACACAGTCTGAGCACAAACAACAGTGGCCACAAGGCCAGTCCAAGAAGTAACAGAGGTATATAGAAAGCAAAGTAAACAGTACACTCAAGCCTAAGCAACACGAGAACCAGTGTCAACAAGGCCTAACTGCACACAGCACCTCTGGTGGTCACAAGGCGGAAGCGCCTTGGTGAAGATGTCTGCAGTGTTGGCCTCGGACTCCACAAACTCAAAGCGAGCCTGTCCACGCCTCTGCAACTCTCGCAGAAGAAAGTACCTGACGTGAATGTGCTTCACTCTGCTCTCCAGTCGTGGCTCTCGACAAAGGAGAATAGACGCCTTGTTGTCAGTGAACAAGGTCGGTGCAGAGCTCGGCCGCTCACCAAGGTCGGTGAGCAAGAAGGTCAACCAACGCAGCTCCTGTGCCGCCATGGCACCAGCGTAGATCTCAGCCTCAGCTGTAGAGGTCGAGACCGAAGAGGAGCGCGTGGACCGCCAGGAAACAGCTCCAGAACCCAGGCTGAAACAGTACCCCTGAGTAGACCTGTGAGTCTCAGCGTCGTCAGCGTAAGAGGAGTCACAGTGACCAGTAAGTACGACAGACTGCTGTCCTCCAAGAACTAGCCCCACGCCTGATGTCGTCGCTAGGTACTTCGCCACCCTCACAGCTGCTGTCCAGTGAACAGGACGGTGTCTCCCTGGCGCAACAAAGCGCGCAAGAACGCTGAGAGGGAAGGCGAGGTCCGGGCAAGTACAAGTCATCAGGTACATGAGGCAACCCACAAGCTCTGCGTAGGGACCACTAGGCTCGAACGGCTCGTCAGGAAAGGGTCCAGTGAGTCTGTGGTCAACAGCAAGAGGTGTGCGCTGTACTGTGGAGTGCTGAAGCCCGAACCGCTGAAGGACCTGCTGCACCATGTGCGACTGTGAAAGTGTAATGGTGCGAGCAGCTCTGTCCCTGGTGATCTGCAGGCCAAGGTAGTGGCGCAGCTCACCAAGATCAGTGCAGGTGTGTCTCTTCTGCAGTTCGGACTTCACGTGTGCCAAAGCAACCCTGTCAGGGGTGGCGAAAACAAGGTCGTCAACGTAGACCAGAACAAAGAAAGGTGTGGGGCCACGACGAACGAACAGCGACGGGGGAGGGCGACGCGACGGGGTAGGGAGACGGGACGGGGCGACGGGACGGGGCAGGGCGACGGGACGGGACGGGGCGACGGGACGGGACGGGGCAGGGCCGCGGGACGGGACGGGACGGGGACGGGACGGGGCAGGGGCGACGGGACGGGACGGGGACGGGACGGGGCAGGGGCGACGGGACGGGACGGGGCGACGGGACGGGACGGGGCAGGGCGACGGGACGGGGCAGGGGCAACGGGACGGGGCAGGGCGACGTGACGGGGGGAAAGGGCGCGACGCGACGGTGGGAAAGGGCGCGACGCGACGGGGGGAAAGAGCGCGACGCGACGGGGGGAAAGGGCGCGACTCGACGGGGGGGAACGGGCGCGACGCAACGGGGGAAAAGGGCGCGACGTGACGGGGGGGAAAGGGCGCTAGGCGACGGGGGGAAGGGCGCTAGGCTCGGCACTAGGCGCGGTAACAACGGAACCGGTACGAACGAGAGGTAGGATCAGGCTCGGGAGATACGAACGGAGAACGGAGGAACGGGATCCCACAGGATCCTAACCTAACTGATACCATGTCAGAATGAGGAATGGATGATGCATTGATGTTGGTTGGGGTACATATAGCTAACCCTAAGTTTTGTACCCCCTAAGGCCAACCTCACTATAGGCTACAACATTTGACAGTTCGCAATCATGCTATAGAAATTTTAGAAATTTACCATTTTTGTACGAGCTACATATATGTATAAAATGGCCCTGAAACTTTGTGGTCCGTGGTATTAGAACAAATGGGATCCTTCAAATTCGCGGCGAGACTTGTTCAAAAGAATAGTACTGTGCGTAAAAGCTTTCAAAATCTATAAATTCCTCTTGCTCGGGCTCATTTCGGCGGGAACTTCATGTAGTTACCATTCGCGTGATGGGCTGCTAGTGTAGAGTTACCAAACGTGTTAAGCGAGTGACCAAACATGTTAAGCGAGTTACCAAACGCGTTAAGCGAGTTACCAATTGCGTTGAAATGTTTACCGTACGCGTTACAGTGCCCCATGTAAGTTACCATTGACATATTTTCCCCATTATTACAGTCAACACTGTACACATGCACACATGATTCTTGCATGTATAGACAGTGAAAGTAATGGTTTAGCATTGAAGAGTGGAAGACTTCAATATTTGAATACTAGAAAAAACAACTGCCAGCTATTGACAGATTTCAGTTCACAATATGAAATGCTGATAACATTCATTGTGCTTGGTACCATTGAGTATTGTCTTTCACAAATCTGTGTGGTCAAACTGCACAACTTCCAGTGCAGCAGAGTCATGCCATCATGTCCTGCAAAGTGCGGGGAGCCCAGCAAACAACCCAACCAACCGCCTATAAAAAAAATTTAGCAGTACTCTCATTTTGTTGCCTCTTCTCATGCTTCTTCTGCCCTTCCCACTCCCTCCGGCACGCTCACGCCATGACAACAAGGTCAGCCACAACAGAGTGGCACCGCGCACACAGCGTGGGGTGCCCTGCAAACGACCCCACGGCCTGCGAGAAGTTCCAGCAGCGCTCGCACTTGCCGCCCGCAGCCCTCCCCACCGCCACCAGCACGCGTGCAGCCTCTCCATTCCACTGCACCTCCACATCAGAGGCGAATTCTAGGCCGAGTGCGGCAAGATCTGCCTCAGAGGGAAGCACGTGGACTTGAGAGGAGAGGAAGACGGTCCTCAGGCTGTCCACTGCTTGCAACTCCTTCAACCCCTTCTGCCCGCTCCCTTCCCTTTCCTCCTCCTCTGCTGCTGCGACGCCTCGTGCATCGGCGGATGCATCGGCGGAAGCGGGGGAGTCGGAGAGGGCTAGCAGGGCGGAGGAGAGGGAGGGGCTGGGCGTGTGCAGGTAGACGGCGGCGTCGAGGTTGGCCCCGATGAGCTTGCCCATGCGCGCCCTCTCCATCACCTTGTTCACCTCCGAGCGCAGCTGAAGAATGGGGGAAGAGAAGGAAAGAGAAAGGGGCTGGGCGGGTGCAGGTAGACGGTGGCGTCCAGGTTGGCCCCGATGAGCTTGCCCATGCGCGCCCTCTCCATCACCTTGTTCACCTCCGAGCGCAGCTGGGGAGAGAGAGAACAGATGGCAGGACAGGAGGGTGTAATTCTTGAAGCGGAAGGGGAAAAGCAGCGAGCTTACCAACCTCACTGACTGAGTCTGCCTCAAACTCAACGGAGCGTGACCTCACAGCTAAGTATAATACTAGCCTGCAGTACTTACCTCAATGAGCGTGGCCCACGTCGCCAGCTCAGCATCCCCGAACGACAGCCAATCAGCTTCCGGCTTGGGCCATGGCATTTGGAAGACGGAGGGAACGGGCCGGGGGAAGTTGCTGGGAAGGTTCTGCCAGGCGTCCTCCGCCATGTGAGGCAGCACGGGGCCAATGGCTGCCAGGAAGGCCGTGAGGTGGTGTGCTAGCACCGTCTGACACGCCCGCCTTGTGAGGTAGTCTTGGCCTCTGTTGAGGGGGGGAGAGAGAGGAGAGGGTGGAGAAGAGGGGAGGGAAGGTGGACAGAGGGACGAGAGGGTGTGGAAAGGAGGTCAGCCATGTGGGGCAGCTCGGGGGTGATGGCTGCCAGGAAGGCTGTGAGGTGGTGTGACAGCACCGTCTGACACGCCCGCCTTGCGAGGTGGTCTTGGCCTCTGGTTAAGGGGGGAGAGCGTGGCGGGGAAATCGAGGGAAGAGAGGGTGAATCGGTGGAAGCGCAAACTAGTCAGACACTCAAGGGGAACTCTGAGACACTTTTCAACTCGACATAAGATGAGTTGAAACGGTGGTCCTGGCCAGGGAAATTGAGGGAAGAGAGCATGGAGCAGGGAGAAGCGAGTATGCCAATGGAGCAGCACGTGGGTTAATGTTAATGTTAACATTGCCATGGGTTAATGTTAATGTTAACATTGCCATGGGTTAATGTTAATGTTAACATTGCCATGGGTTAATGTTAATGTTAACATTGCCATGGGTTAATGTTAATGTTAACATTGCCATGGGTTAATGTTAATGTTAACATTGCCATGGGTTAATGTTAATGTTAACATTGCCATGGGTTAATGTTAATGTTAACATTGCCATGGGTTAATGTTAATGTTAACATTGCCATGGGTTAATGTTAATGTTAACATTGCCATGGGTTAATGTTAATGTTAACATTGCCATGGGTTAATGTTAATGTTAACATTGCCATGGGTTAATGTTAATGTTAACATTGCCATGGGTTAATGTTAATGTTAACATTGCCATGGGTTAATGTTAATGTTAACATTGCCATGGGTTAATGTTAATGTTAACATTGCCATGGGTTAATGTTAATGTTAACATTGCCATGGGTTAATGTTAATGTTAACATTGCCATGGGTTAATGTTAATGTTAACATTGCCATGGGTTAATGTTAATGTTAACATTGCCATGGGTTAATGTTAATGTTAACATTGCCATGGGTTAATGTTAATGTTAACATTGCCATGGGTTAATGTTCAAAGCTGGTATAGAAACGGCAGATGGAGAAAGAAGCACGATCTCCACACACCACCCACCCCAGATAGCACCCACTCCATACAGCTCCCACCCACCCCACACAGCACCCCAGGTGGCACCCACCCCACATAGAGCCTGTCCTTGCAGACATCGAAGTAGAAGTTGGAGAGGTCTACCACTGCAAAGCGCTGTATGAGCTGCAGAGCAGGCACAGGGGTGGTGAGTAATGAGAGCAGGGAGCGAGGGTGGAAGAGGTACAGAGGAAGGGTATTGGAAATCTCTACCACTGCAAAGCACCGGATGAGCTGCACAGCACCCGATGAGCTGCACAGCACCGAAATGAGGGCACAGCGGGAGGGCTGAGAGGCCAGAGAGGACAGGTGTTGGAAAGTTATGACACTGCAACGTGCTGATGCTGATGCTGATGCTGATGGTAATGGTGATGGTGATGGTGATGCTGATGCTGATGCTGATGCGCTGATGCTGATGCGCTGATGCTGATGCGCTGATGCTGATGCGCTGATGCTGATGCTGATGCTGATTCTGATGCTGATGCACTGATGCTGATGCTGATGCTGATGCGCTGATGCTGATGCGCTGATGCTGATGCGCTGATGCTGATGCGCTGATGCTGATGCGCTGATGCTGATGCTGATGCTGATGCTGTTGCTGATGCTGATGCTGATGCGCTGATGCTGATGCGCTGATGCTGATGCGCTGATGCTGATGCGCTGATGCTGATGCGCTGATGCTGATGCGCTGATGCTGATGCGCTGATGCTGATGCGCTGATGCTGATGCTGATGCTGATGCGCTGATGCTGATGCGCTGATGCTGATGCGCTGATGCTGATGCGCTGATGCTGATGCGCTGATGCTGATGCGCTGATGCTGATGCGCTGATGCTGATGCTGATGCTGATGCTGATGCGCTGATGCTGATGCGCTGATGCTGATGCTGATGCTGATGCTGAAGCTGATGCTGATGCGCTGATGCTGATGCGCTGATGCTGATGCGCTGATGCTGATGCGCTGATGCTGATGCTGATGCTGATGCTGATGCGCTGATGCTGATGCGCTGATGCTGATGCGCTGATGCTGATGCGCTGATGCTGATGCGCTGATGCTGATGCTGATGCGCTGATGCTGATGCTGATATGCTGATGCTGATATGCTGATGCTGATGCTGATGCGCTGATGCTGATGCGCTGATGCTGATGCTGCTGATGCTGATGCTGATGCTGATGCGCTGATGCTGATGCTGATGCTGATGCGCTGATGCTGATGCGCTGATGCTGATGCACTGATGCTAGTGCGCTGATGCTGATGCTTGCGCTGATGCTGATGCTGATGCTGATGCGCTGATGCTGATGCGCTGATGCTGATGCGCTGATGCTGATGCGCTGATGCTGATGCTGATGCGCTGATGCTGATGCGCTGATGCTGATGCGCTGATGCTGATGCGCTGATGCTGATGCGCTGATGCTGATGCTGATGCTGATCCTGATGCTGATGCGCTGATGCTGATGCGCTGATGCTGATGCGCTGATGCTGATGCTGATGCTGATGCGCTGATGCTGATGCGCTGATGCTGATGCGCTGATGCTGATGCACTGATGCTGATGCTGATGCTGATGCGCTGATGCTGATGCGCTGATGCTGATGATGATGCTGATGCTGATGCTGATGCGCTGATGCTGATGCGCTGATGCTGATGCGCTGATGCTGATGCGCTGATGCTGATGCGCTGATGCTGATGCGCTGATGCTGATGCGCTGATGCTGATGCGCTGATGCTGATGCTGATGCTGATGCGCTGATGCTGATGCGCTGATGCTGATGCGCTGATGCTGATGCGCCGATCCTGATGCGCTGATGCTGCTGCGCTGATGCTGATGCCAATGCTGATGCGCTGATGCTGATGCGCTGATGCTGATGCGCTGATACTGCTGCGCTGATGCTGATGCGCTGATGCTGATGCGCTGATGCTGATGCGCTGATGCTGATGCGCTGATGCTGATGCGCTGATTTTGATGCGCTGATGCTGATGCGCTGATGCTGATGCGCTGATGCTGATGCGCTGATGCTGATGCGCTGATGCTGATGCTGATGCTGATGCTGATGCTGATGCGCTGATGCTGATGCGCTGATGCTGATGCGCTGATGCTGATGCGCTGATGCTGATGCGCTGATGCTGATGCGCTGATGCTGATGCTGATGCTGATGCTGATGCGCTGATGCTGATGCGCTGATGCTGATGCTGATGCTGATGCTGATGCTGATGGCTGATGCTGATGCGCTGATGCTGATGCGCTGATTTTGATGCGCTGATGCTGATGCGCTGATGCTGATGCGCTGATGCTGATGCGCTGATGCTGATGCGCTGATGCTGATGCTGATGCTGATGCTGATGCGCTGATGCTGATGCGCTGATGCTGATGCGCTGATGCTGATGCGCTGATGCTGATGCGCTGATGCTGATGCTGATGCTGATGCTGATGCGCTGATGCTGATGCGCTGATGCTGATGCTGATGCTGATGCTGATGCGCTGATGCTGATGCGCTGATGCTGATGCGCTGATGCTGATGCGCTGATGCTGATGCTGATGCTGATGCGCTGATGCTGATGCGCTGGGATGTGCTGATGCTGATGCGCTGATGCTGATGCGCTGATGCTGATGCGCTGATGCTGATGCTGATGCTGATGCTGATGCGCTGATGCTGATGCGCTGATGCTGATGCTGATGCTGATGCTGATGCGCTGATGCTGATGCGCTGATGCTGATGCGCTGATGCTGATGCGCTGATGCTGATGCGCTGATGCTGATGCGCTGATGCTGATGCGCTGATGCTGATGCTGATGCTGATGCGCTGATGCTGATGCGCTGGGATGTGCTGATGCTGATGCGCTGATGCTGATGCGCTGATGCTGATGCGCTGATGCTGATGCGCTGATGCTGATGCGCTGATGCTGATGCGCTGATGCTGATGCGCTGATGCTGATGCTGATGCTGATGCTGATGCGCTGATGCTGATGCTGATGCTGATGCGCTGATGCTGATGCTGATGCTGATGCGCTGATGCTGATGCGCTGATGCTGATGCGCTGATGCTGATGCACTGATGCTGATGCTGATGCTGATGCGCTGATGCTGATGCGCTGATGCTGATGCTGATGCTGATGCTGATGCGCTGATGCTGATGCGCTGATGCTGATGCTGATGCGCTGATGCTGATGCGCTGATGCTGATGCGCTGATGCTGATGCGCTGATGCTGATGCGCTGATGCTGATGCGCTGATGCTGATGCGCTGATGCTGATGCGCTGATGCTGATGATGATGCTGATGCTGATGCTGATGCGCTGATGCTGATGCGCTGATGCTGATGCGCTGATGCTGATGCGCTGATGCTGATGCGCTGATGCTGATGCTGATGCTGATGCTGATGATGCTGATGCGCTGATGCTGTTGCTGATGCTGATGCTGATGCGCTGATGCTGATGCGCTGATGCTGATGCGCTGATGCTGATGCGCTGATGCTGATGCGCTGATGCTGATGCGCTGATGCTGATGCGCTGATGCTGATGCGCTGATGCGCTGATGCTGATGCTGATGCTGATGCGCTGATGCTAATGAGCTGATGAGCTGATGCTGATGCTGATGCTGACGCTGATGCGCTGATGCTGATGCGCTGATGCTGATGCGCTGATGCTGATGCGCTGATGCTGATGCGCTGATGCTGATGCGCTGATGCTGATGCGCTGATGCTGATGCTGATGCTGATGCTGATGCGCTGCTCCTGATGCGCTGATGCTGATGCGCTGATGCTGATGCGCTGATGCTGATGCGCTGATGCTGATGCGCTGATGCTGATGCGCTGATGCTGATGCGCTGATGCTGATGCGCTGATGCTGATGCGCTGATGCTGATGCGCTGATGCTGATGCTGCTGATGCTGATGCTGATGCTGATGCGCTGATGCTGATGCTGATGCTGATGCGCTGATGCTGATGCGCTGATGCTGATGCACTGATGCTGATGCGCTGATGCTGATGCGCTGATGCTGATGCGCTGATGCTGATGCGCTGATGCTGATGCGCTGATGCTGATGCGCTGATGCTGATGCTGATGCTGATGCTGATGCGCTGATGCTGATGCGCTGATGCTGATGCGCTGATGCTGATGCGCTGATGCTGATGCGCTGATGCTGATGCGCTGATGCTGATGCTGATGCTGATGCTGATGCGCTGATGCTGATGCGCTGATGCTGATGCGCTGATGCTGATGCGCTGATGCTGATGCGCTGATGCTGATGCGCTGATGCTGATGCGCTGATGCTGATGCGCTGATGCTGATGCGCTGATGCTGATGCTGCTGATGCTGATGCTGATGCTGATGCGCTGATGCTGATGCTGATGCTGATGCGCTGATGCTGATGCGCTGATGCTGATGCACTGATGCTGATGCGCTGATGCTGATGCGCTGATGCTGATGCGCTGATGCTGATGCTGATGCGCTGATGCTGATGCGCTGATGCTGATGCGCTGATGAAGATGATGATGGTGATGCTGATGCTGATGCGCTGATGCTGATGCTGATGCGCTGATGCTGATGCGCTGATGCTGATGCGCTGATGCTGATGCGCTGATGCTGATGCGCTGATGCTGATGCGCTGATGCTGATGCGCTGATGCTGATGCGCTGATGAAGATGATGCTGCTTATGCTGATGCTGATGCTGATGCACATGCTGATGCTGCTGATGCTGATGCTGATGCTGATGCTGATGCGCTGATGCTGATGCGCTGATGCTGATGCGCTGATGCTGATGCGCTGATGCTGATGCGCTGATGCTGATGCGCTGATGCTGATGCGCTGATGCTGATGCGCTGATGCTGATGCTGATGCTGATGCGCTGATGCTGATGCGCTGATGCTGATGCGCTGATGCTGATGCGCTGATGCTGATGCGCTGATGCTGATGCGCTGATGCTGATGCGCTGATGCTGATGCGCTGATGCTGATGCTGATGCTGATGCTGATGCTGATGCGCTGATGCTGATGCGCTGATGCTGATGCGCTGATGCTGATGCGCTGATGCTGATGCGCTGATGCTGATGCTGATGCTGATGCTGATGCTGATGCTGATGCTGATGCGCTGATGCTGATGCGCTGATGCTGATGCTGATGATGATGCTGATGCTGATGCTGATGCGCTGATGCTGATGCGCTGATGCTGATGCGCTGATGCTGATGCGCTGATGCTGATGCGCTGATGCTGATGCTGATGCTGATGCTGATGCGCTGATGCTGATGCGCTGATGCTGATGCGCTGATGCTGATGCGCTGATGCTGATGCGCTGATGCTGATGCGCTGATGCTGATGCGCTGATGCTGATGCGCTGATGCTGATGCGCTGATGCTGATGCGCTGATGCTGATGCGCTGATGCTGATGCGCTGATGCTGATGCGCTGATGCTGATGCGCTGATGCTGATGCGCTGATGCTGATGCGCTGATGCTGATGCGCTGATGCTGATGCGCTGATGCTGATGCGCTGATGCTGATGCGCTGATGCTGATGCGCTGATGCTGATGCTGATGCTGATGCTGATGCGCTGATGCTGATGCGCTGATGCTGATGCGCTGATGCTGATGCGCTGATGCTGATGCGCTGATGCTGATGCTGATGCGCTGATGCTGATGCTGATATGCTGATGCTGATATGCTGATGCTGATATGCTGATGCTGATGCTGATGCGCTGATGCTGATGCTGATGCTGATGCACATGCTGATGCTGATGCTGATGCTGCTGATGCTGATGCTGCTGATGCTGATGCTGATGCGCTGATGCTGATGCGCTGATGCTGATGCTGATGCGCTGATGCTGATGCTGATGCGCTGATGCTGATGCGCTGATGCTGATGCGCTGATGCTGATGCGCTGATGCTGATGCTGATGCTGATGCTGATGCGCTGATGCTGATGCTGATGCGCTGATGCTGATGCTGATGCTGATGCTTGCGCTGATGCTGGTGCGCTGATGCTGGTGCGCTGATGCTGGTGCACTGATGCTGATGCTGATGCTGATGCGCTGATGCTGATGCGCTGATGCTGATGCTGATGCTGATGCTGATGCTGATGCGCTGATGCTGATGCGCTGATGCTGATGCGCTGATGCTGATGCGCTGATGCTGATGCGCTGATGCTGATGCTGATGCTGATGCTGATGCGCTGATGCTGATGCGCTGATGCTGATGCGCTGATGCTGATGCGCTGATGCGCTGATGCTGATGCTGATGCTGTTGCTGATGCTGATGCTGATGCGCTGATGCTGATGCGCTGATGCTGATGCGCTGATGCTGATGCGCTGATGCTGATGCGCTGATGCTGATGCTGATGCTGATGCTGATGCTGATGCTGATGCGCTGATGCTGATGCGCTGATGCTGATGCTGATGCTGATGCTGATGCTGATGCTGATGCTGATGCGCTGATGCTGATGCGCTGATGCTGATGCGCTGATGCTGATGCGCTGATGCTGATGCTGATGCTGATGCTGATGCGCTGATGCTGATGCGCTGATGCTGATGCGCTGATGCTGATGCGCTGATGCTGATGCGCTGATGCTGATGCGCTGATGCTGATGCGCTGATGCTGATGCGCTGATGCTGATGCGCTGATGCTGATGCGCTGATGCTGATGCGCTGATGCTGATGCGCTGATGCTGATGCGCTGATGCTGATGCTGCTGATGCTGATGCTGATGCTGATGCGCTGATGCTGATGCTGATGCTGATGCGCTGATGCTGATGCGCTGATGCTGATGCACTGATGCTGATGCGCTGATGCTGATGCGCTGATGCTGATGCGCTGATGCTGATGCTGATGCGCTGATGCTGATGCGCTGATGCTGATGCGCTGATGCTGATGCGCTGATGAAGATGATGATGCTGATGCTGATGCTGATGCGCTGATGCTGATGCTGATGCGCTGATGCTGATGCGCTGATGCTGATGCGCTGATGCTGATGCGCTGATGCTGATGCGCTGATGCTGATGCGCTGATGAAGATGATGATGCTGATGCTGATGCTGATGCTGATGCACATGCTGATGCTGCTGATGCTGATGCTGATGCTGATGCGCTGATGCTGATGCGCTGATGCTGATGCGCTGATGCTGATGCGCTGATGCTGATGCGCTGATGCTGATGCGCTGATGCTGATGCGCTGATGCTGATGCGCTGATGCTGATGCGCTGATGCTGATGCGCTGATGCTGATGCGCTGATGCTGATGCGCTGATGCTGATGCGCTGATGCTGATGCGCTGATGCTGATGCGCTGATGCTGATGCGCTGATGCTGATGCGCTGATGCTGATGCGCTGATGCTGATGCTGATGCTGATGCGCTGATGCTGATGCGCTGATGCTGATGCGCTGATGCTGATGCGCTGATGCTGATGCGCTGATGCTGATGCTGATGCTGATGCTGATGCTGATGCGCTGATGCTGATGCGCTGATGCTGATGCGCTGATGCTGATGCGCTGATGCTGATGATGATGCTGATGCTGATGCTGATGCGCTGATGCTGATGCGCTGATGCTGATGCGCTGATGCTGATGCGCTGATGCTGATGCGCTGATGCTGATGCTGATGCTGATGCGCTGATGCTGATGCGCTGGGATGTGCTGATGCTGATGCGCTGATGCTGATGCGCTGATGCTGATGCGCTGATGCTGATGCTGATGCTGATGCTGATGCGCTGATGCTGATGCGCTGATGCTGATGCGCTGATGCTGATGCGCTGATGCTGATGCGCTGATGCTGATGCGCTGATGCTGATGCGCTGATGCTGATGCGCTGATGCTGATGCGCTGATGCTGATGCGCTGATGCTGATGCGCTGATGCTGATGCGCTGATGCTGATGCTGATGCTGATGCTGATGCTGACGCTGCTGCTGCTGCTGCTGCTGCTGCTGCTGCTGCTGCTGCTGCTGCTGCTGCTGCTGCTGCTGCTGCTGCTGCTGCTGCTGCTGCTGCTGCTGCTGCTGCTGCTGCTGCTGCTGCTGCTGCTGCTGCTGCTGCTGCTGCTGCTGCTGCTGCTGCTGCTGCTGCTGCTGCTGCTGCTGCTGCTGCTGCTGCTGCTGCTGCTGCTGCTGCTGCTGCTGCTGCTGCTGCTGCTGCTGCTGCTGCTGCTGCTGCTGCTGCTGCTGCTGCTGCTGCTGCTGCTGCTGCTGCTGTTGTTGCTTTTGCTTTTTTTTGCGTGTGTGTGTGTGTGTGTGTGTGTTTTTGTTTTTCCCCTCGGGTACGAATACGAATGTTAGAGGAAGTTACCTGGTAGAAGCGGTAGAACTGGAAATCATCGTAGCTCTGCTGCACGTCCTGCATCACATCAGCCAGGCGCCACAGTGCATAGCGGTCCAGGGCAGGTAGGCTGGCATAAGGGACCGCCTCGGAGGGCTGAAGGGCGGGAGAGGAAGGGTGGAGCAGGGAAAGAAGGGGCGTTGAGGGTGGAACATGAAAGGGATGGTTCTGGAAGCTCTGCTGCACGTCCTGCACCACATCTGCCAGGCGGCGCAGTGCATAGCGGTCCAGAGCGGGTAGGCTGGCGTATGGGACTGCCTCGGAGGGCTGATGGGGGAGAAGGGAGGGATGGGGAAGGGAAGTTAGGGGCATGAGGAAGTCATCGTAGCTCTGCTGCACGTCCTGCATCACATCAGCCAGGCGCCGCAGTGCATAGGGGTCCAGGGCAGGCAGGCTGGCATAGGGGACCGCCTCGGATGGCTGAGATCGTGGGGGGGGAGCCAAGGGTGACATGATTGGGAGGGTGGTAGAGGAAGAGGGTGAGGAGAGAGGAGTTTATTAGGCAGGAAGGATGCAGGTGAGGAAGTGAATTTAGACAACCCAAATCAACCCAGCGCAATTCCATGCAACCCAGAGCACTCACCTCGTAATCATACAGTTTGCCGAGCCGGTACACATCGCTCATCTGCTTCACCATGGACAGATGGCTAGAGACTCAACCCAGTGCATACAGTGCATACAGTGCCTGCAGTGCCCCCATGAGGAAATCATACCTGGTAGTCGTGCAGGTTACCCAGCAGGAACCTCAGGGTGCCTCTGAGCTTGCGGTACACATCGCTCATCTGCTTCACAATGGACGGCCCGATCACAACATCGCCACTGTAGTCCACCGATGCCACCCACAGCCGCAACACGTCCGCTCCGTATGCTGGTTCTGTCTGGAAAGGTGAGAGCACGGTGGGCATGCAAAGGGGAAACAGTGAGAGCAGCATGGGGCATGGCATGGGGATTGACGGTCCGATCACCACGTCGCCACTGTAGTCCACTGAGGAAACCCACAGCCTCAGCAGACCTGCTCCGTACGCTGGCTCGGTCTGAGGCACGAGAAAGGAGTGTGGAGGCAGCATTGAGCATGGGATGGCAAATAGATAGTGAGAGTAGGTTGGGGCATGATATGGGGATGGACGGCCAGACCACCACGTGATTGAAGAAGTGTTTTGAGACGTCTCAAAACACTTCTTCAATCACGTAGGTTGGGGCATGATATGGGGATGGACGGCCAGACCACCACTGTAGTACACAGAGGCAACCCTCAGTCGCAGCACGTCCGTCCCGTAAGCTGGCTCAATCTGTGACAGCGTGAGAGCAGCACGGGGCACGGGGATGGCAGGCAGATAGTGAGAGCAGGGTGAGGCATGGCATCGGCACAGAGGGTCCACTATGTGAGACGTGCCCACGCCATGCCTCACCCTGCTCTCACCACGTCTCCACTGAAGTTCACTGAAGCCACCCACAATCTCTCACGGACTTGCTCATATCTTCATGCCCCGCTCGTCCAGCACAAACCTGTGGGTCAGCACCGCACAGCTACCAGAGACAGACACCCACACACACACAGACACACACATCCAAGGACGCTCACCTTCTGGTTCTTCCCCCCATTAATCACAGTCAAAGGGTCGACAACGTTCCCCACAGACTTGCTCATCTTCATGCCGCGCTCGTCCAGCACAAACCCGTGGGTCAGCACCGCCCTGTACAAGAGACACCCATCTAGTCACAGCACCACACCCGGACCCACAAACCCTCACCTTCTGGTTCTTGCCCCCATTAATCACTGTGAGAGGGTCCACCACATTGCCGACCGACTTGCTCATCTTCATGCCGCGCTCGTCCAGCACAAACCCGTGAGTCAACAGCACCACACCCAGAGACACCTGAAACCGAAGCACAGGTACCCACCTTCTGGTTCTTCCCTCCGTTGATAACAGTCAAAGGGTCGACCACATTCCCCACGGACTTGCTCATCTTCATGCCCCGCTCGTCCAGCACAAACCCGTGGGTCAGCACCGCCCGGTATGGTGCCGTGCCAGCAGCCGCCACGCCTGTGAGCAGCGAGCTCTGGAACCACCCTCGGTGCTGGTCGCTGCCCTCCAGATACAGATCCGCTGGGAAGTTAAGCTCTGAGCCAGATGGGGTCCCTGCATTAGTATCTGCAGCGGAAGCGCTGCTTGAAGCAGCTCCGTTGGTATCAGAGCCAGCGGCAGAGGCGGAGGCAGAAGAGGAGGCGGAGGCGGAGGCAGAAGAGGAGGCGGAGGTTGAGGCAGAAGAGGAGGCGGAGGGGGAGGCAGAAGAGGAGGCGGAGGCGGAGGCAGAAGAGGAGGCGGAGGGGGAGGAGGAGGAGGCGAGGACGGAGGCCCAGGAGGAGCCGGAGTCGAACCAGACGTCCATGGTATCAGAGCCCTTGCGGTACTGCGCTGCCTGGTCACGCAGCGACGGGGGCAGCAGGTCCGCCACGTCCATCTCCCACCACGCGTCACTGCCCTTCTCTGTGGGTAAGGAAAAGTAGGGAGGGAGGGGGAATGGGGGGTGGAGGGGGAAAGAGGTGAGTTTATGTTGTTTCAGAAGTCTGGTTGGAGGCGGGATCTTAGATCAATCTTCGAGAGCTGGTGGATCGTGTGCCGGCTGTGTGTGTCTCTTCGCAGGATTGATGCATGCATGCCTCCATGCACGCTTGATGCATGCGTGCAAAGAGACACACACAGCCAGCACACGATCCACCAGCTCTTGAAGATTGATCTCGGATCCCGCCTCCAGCAGCACACGCTTGATGCGCGCTTGACACTGCCACCTCCACATTCACTTCGACTCCTTCACCTGCCACACCACGCCTGTTGTACACGGCTCACCTGCTACAATCGCCTGCACATGAGCGATGGTCTCCTGGGTGAGAAGTGGCTCGCTGGTCTCGACGTGGTGGAAGGCGGGGATGGACACACATCATGCACACACGCTTGACAATGCACCTCCACATTCTCTCCTGCAATGCCTCACCTGCCACAATGGCCTGAACGTGAGCAATGGTCTCTTGAGTAAGCAGCGGCTCGCCCGTCTCGACATGATAGAAGGCAGGGATAGGCACACCCCAGGACCGCTGCCGTGAGATGCACCAGTCGGACCGCCCCTCCACCATGGCTGTTATGCGCTTCTCGCCCTGAGGGGTGGAGAGGGGTGGGGATGAGTTGCAATGGAATAAAGAGGGAGCAGCGAGGGTGAGGGCAGGAGTCTGTGATGCGCTTCTCGCCCTGCCATGGCACGTCATGGAGGTTGAGTGCGGTGGGGTTGAGGGTGGGAGAGGGAGCGGGGTGGGGATGAGAGAGGGAGCAGGGTGCAGGTGGGGTTCGGAGTTGGAAGGGGGTGGGGTGGCATGGAATGGGGTGGGCGTGGGGGTGGGGTGGCATGGCCTGGGGGGAACGAGTAGGACGTGCTTAGAGGGGAGGAGAGAGTGACTTGCCTGTGGGGGGAACCACTGCACTCCGCGAATGGCCTCCAGTGCCTCCTCCTTGAAGCCGTTCACCGAGGCAAACCACTGGTCCGTGGCTCGGAAGATGGTGGGCTGCTTGCTGCGCCAGTCGTACGGGTACTTGTGCTCTGATGGGGGAAGAGGAGGATGGGACGAGGGAACAAAGAGACGAGACCAGGGAGGAAGTGAGGACGTCAGCTTTGAAAACGCAAGAAAAAATGTGCACACACACTGCTCTCACTCACACACACTGCTCTCACTCACACCCACTGCTCTCACTCACACCCACTGCTCTCACTCACACGCACTGCTCTCACACTCACCACTCTGACACTCCCTCCGCACAGCACACCACATCACAGGTAAATGGCACTCACCATACGCCTCTTCCAGCAGCAGCGCTCCATTCCCATTGAGTGCCGCCATCACAGCCGCATTGCCCTCCCCCAGGACGCTCAGCCCCTCAAAATGTCCCCCCCCCCTAAAACCCACTCCCTCCCACCCCCCCATCCCACTCACCATACGCTTCCTCCAGCAGCAGCGATCCATTCCCATTGAGGGCCGCCATCACAGCCGCATTCCCCTCCCCCAACACGCTCAACCCCTCAAACTGCCCCCCCTTGGCCTCCGCAGTGAATCTCCCCTCATCATCCACGGGGGAGATTAACTCTAGACCGTACTTAAGCCCCGTTGCATAGTCCTCCTGCCCGTGCCCCGGAGCCGTGTGCACCAATCCCGTGCCGGATTCCGTGGTGATGTATTCGCCGCCCACCACTACGGGACAAATCCTGCCGTCCAGCGGGTGCTGGTAGGTGGAGCCCTCTAGGTGGGACCCGGGGAAGGTGGCGACTGGGGTGAGGGAGCAGCGCCACGTGGCCTGCAGGGATTGGATGAGGTCGGTGGCCACGATGACGTGGCGCGTGGTGGGAGGAGCAGCACTGTTGGGTGCAGTGTCATTTGCAGCAGAGGAGAGGGAGGAGAGAAGTGAACCGGTGTTCCTCTTTCCCTTGCCAAATGTCGGCGCGGGAGCAGCAGCAGCATCACCATCAGCAGCGGAACCAGCACCCGAACCAGCAGCAGCAGCAGCAGCAGCATCAGCATCAGCGGCGGCGGCAGCAGGGGGGGCGATTTCGACAACGGAGTAGGAGATTCGGTCGTTGACAGCGACAGCGGCGTTGCCAGGGATGGTCCAGGGCGTGGTGGTCCAGATGGCCAGGGCGAGTGAGGGGAGTAGGGGGCCGAGGGAGGCTGGTAGGGAGGAGGAGAGGGAGCGCAGAGGGAAGGTGGTGTAGATGCTCCGAGACACATGCACGTCTGGGTACTGGTGATAGGGGGAGGGGAGGGGGGAAGGGGGAACATGACATGGAAGCACTGTAGACTGATATTTATGCTGCATCAGGCAGGGAAGGTGGAGCAGATGCTCCGAGACACATGCACGTCTGGGTACTGGTCTCAGGACATGGGGGACGGTGGGTTAAGGGGGGAAGGGTGGGGTGGGGAGGGAGGGGGGAGGTTAGGGTAGGGGAGAAAGAGCGCGAGCAGAGCAAGGTGGGGAATGAGTGAGAACATGTTACAAAAAAAGCACTGTTCACTCAGACTCTGCTGCGTGCCTCCCATACCCACCCACCCATTTCCAGGCCACCTCCCATACCTACCATTCCCCAACCTCTCTTCGTACCTCAAAGCCTCGGCGAGGGCAGTCCGAGAAGACGGACTCCAGTGAACTGGCTTCCTGCCGCGGTAGATATGGCCATTCAGCACCATGCGCGCGAACACACCCAGCTGAGCGGTCTCATAGGCGGGTCGCAGAGTGAGGTAGGGGTGGGTGCTCCCAGTCCGGGGGAACACAACCAGCCACCCTCACACACACCTCAACCAGCACTCCCATTTCATACCTCGAGCTCAGCTTCAGCAAGGGCAGTGCGGGAGGAAGGACTCCAGTGCACGGGCTTCCTGCCGCGGTAGATATGGCCATTCAGCACCATGCGGGCGAACACACCCAGCTGAGCGGTCTCGTAGGCGGGCCGCAGAGTGAGGTAGGGGTGATCCCAGTCGGCCCACACGCCGTAGCGCCGGAAGGCTTCACGCTGCTTGTCCACCGTTTTTAAGGCGAATTGGGCTGCCTTTTTCCGCAGCTTGATGGGGGTCAGACCCTGCCTTGCTTTAGTGTCCATTGACTGGAGCACTGGGAGAGGGAGAGGGGAAGGGGGGGGCAGGGGGGGAGGCGAAATGTGCTGCTTTTTTTGCAGCTTAAGGGGGGTCAGGCCCTGCCTTGATTGGAGCACTGCCAGAGCAAGAGGGGGAAGGGGGAGGGCAGGAGGGGGGAAGGTGAGAAGGTGGGGAGTTGGTTAGATAGAGGCAAACCAGCACGCCCAGCTGAGCGGCCTCGTCGTAGGTGGGCCGCAGGGTAAGGTAGGGGTGGTCCCAGTCCGCCCACACGTCGTAGCGCCGGAAGGCCTGCCACTGCTTGTCGACCATTTTAAATGCCAACTGTGCTGCTTTTTTGCGCAGCTTGATGAGTGACTGCAGCATTGAGGGGGGGGAAAGAGGAGGTGTGGGGGGTGTGCAGGAGGGAAGAGGCGTGTGGGGGGGGATTCGGCAGGTAACACAGGTCATGAGCACGAATCAAGGACAGAGGCATGATTAAGGTTATTGTGGTTCCTTTCTGTCACTTGGCCTTTTCCTGAGCTACACTCCCCCCTGAAAATCCCAACTCCCCCACCCCTCCCTCCTCCCCACGTGCAAGAAATGCCATGGGTGAAGGCAGGATGGCGTACCTTTGAGTTCGATGGGCAGCCCGTGGCAGTCCCACCCCGGCACGGCACAAACCTCACCTTGCGGGGCTTCACTACTCCTACCAAACCCCCCCACCCTCCAAACAGCCCCCCCTTTCTCCAGCCAACGCTGTGCTGTGTGTGCAGACAGAGAGGATGGCATACCTTTGAGCTCGATGGGCAGCCCGTGACAGTCCCACCCCGGCACGGCACAAAAGAGCTTTCGATACCCCCACCCCACCGACCTCCCCCACCCCACCGACCCCCCCCACCCCACCGACCTCCCCCATCCTCCAACTCCCCCCTTTTTCCTGCAAGCAGTGCTGTGGGTGCGGGGAGGCATACCTTTGAGCTCAATGGGCAGCCCGTGGCAGTCCCACCCCGGCACGAACTTCACCTTGCGCCCCCTCAGCATCTGCGGGCGGGGGAGGCGGAGGAAGGGGAGAGCAGGAGGAGGGGGGAGCAGGTGGTAGGGGGAGCAGGTGGTAGGGGGAGCAGGTGGTAGGGGGAGCAGGTGGTAGGGGGAGCAGGTGGTAGGGGGAGCAGGTGGGACAGGGGGAGCAGGGGGAGAGGAGCGGGGGGGAAGGGGGGAGAAGGGGAGGAGGGAGCAGGGAGGGTGAGGAGGCGGAGGAGGGGAATGGGAATGCAGATCCTTATTGGCGTACGGCACCTCAAAGGACGTCTCAGTGACAGTAGGAGGGCACACAGGCTTTAAGAGCGAGATTACCTGGTAGCGGTTGATAAAGTCCTTGAGAATCTTGTTGAGCGCATGGCCGATGTGCAGGTCGCCATTGGCGTAGGGCGGTCCGTCATGCAGCGTGAACGGCTCCTGATGGTAGATGGAGTTAGGGAGAGAAAGGGGAGGGATGGGGGAAGGTGGGGAGAAAGGGGGTTATAGAAGAGGAAGGGGAAGGGGGAAGGCGGAAGGGGGAAGGGGGAAGAGAAGAGAGGGTGGGAGGGAGGGAGGGAGAATGAGGAGAGAGAGGCCTTTTCTGCAGCGTGAACGGCTCCTGATGGTGGATGGGGTTGGGGAGAAGGGGTTATAGGAGTAGAAGGGGTTATAGGAGTAGAAGGGGTTATAAGAGTAGAAGGGGTTATAGGAGTAGAAGGGGAAGGGAAAGCATCTGAAAAGCCGCTCAACTCACTCACTCACCCCCAGGTTTGTTTCAAGCAGCTTCCCCACGACGTCAAGCTCCCCCCACAGCTTCTGAATCTCGGGCTCCCGCACACTGGCGTTGGCGCGCATGCCAAAGCTCGTCTGCGGAAGGCACACCGTGCCCTTGTACTTCCCCCCCTCCTGCTCCGCGCCCCCCTCCTCCGTGCCCTTCTTCTTCCCCCGCGCCTCCACCGCCAGCCTCCGCGCGCGCCCCCCGGTAGCGCCCGCGGGTGGTGCGGGGAAGGGGACTGTGGCGGGGGATGTTGCGCCGAGGGCGCATAGCCGGCTGCTGCTGCGGGGGAATCCTAAGGTGGGAGGGAGAAACGCGGAGCGCAGGCTGTGCGCGGAGGAGCGCGTGATTTTCCGCGCAGAGGGGGAGGGGGTGGCGGAGAGGGACGGGGAAAGGCGTGGGGCGGCGGCAAGCGCGCTTGGCGCGCAGCAGATGCAGCGCATTCTGCCGCAGAGCGTGGAGAGCGCGGGGGAGCGCGCGGCGGACGAGAGGAGGTGAGTGCCGGATGACTGCTCGGGGGAAGGGGCGACGAAGGGGAGGGAGAGGAGGCGGGAGCGGGGGGGGGAGGGGGGGGGAGGGGGGGAAAGAAAAAGGGGGAGGAATGGGGAGAAAGGGGATGATGGGAGAAGAGAAAGAAGCGGTGGGGACGGGACCAGAGAAATGGAACCCGAATTGGGACCACTAATTTCCAAACCAACGGGATAACCAGGAAACACATGAAAGCGCCTCCAGAACGTGTCACAGAATGCGCTTCAGGATGCGCTCGAAATGCGGCTCGAGAGCTCAAGCGGAACCTAACCATGTCGTCGGGCCGCTCAAAGGAAAGAGAGGGCGTGTGACGACCGCGCTCGCTTCGCGTCTCGACGCGTGTCAAACGTGTTCAAAAGCAGCAGTCGGCCGCTGGATCGGCGTCGACAGGTGTCAAACGCGTTTATTTGAACGAATGCTTGCACCGGGCCCACCCACCGCGCCCTAATCGGCCTAATGGATGGCCCGATTTAGTCACTCCGCGACACGCGGCGAGATAGTGTGGAGGGTCTGGACCCGCGATGTGCAATCTCGAGGGGTGGAGTGGGGGTAAAGTTGTGTGAGAAATTGGGGGGGGACGAGCTGCGAATGTGGGTATGCCCGCTCCACGTCAGCACGCAGATGACGTGCGACCTTGCGCGCCACGAATTCGTGGATGAGGGTGGTGCACGCTTTGTGGTTATGTACTCGTCAATATTATGGTTTCTTCAAGAGTGCAAACTCTTTTTACCGAGTCGTTTTGTAAGAGTATTTTCTTCCATCCACCCATCCCCGGTACAGGAAGACTGCACTTTGTTCACCGTGCATTTTGAGGTGTAAAATATCGTCACTACACGATGAACAATCGACCTTTCCGAACTTCGAAACCTGCATCCCAATCCCACTTCCAGCACGAATTCATTTCTCTCGCAATCCCGTGTGCATCCCACTTCCATCAACGTTTCCACACCGCTTTAATGGCTGACAGTTGAGCTGACCGTCTTTCCCGACGCTCATTTCGTGGCATCATTGCATCATTCCCATCCGTCGTCCTAACGGTCACATTTACCGCCATGGCGTCAGGGCGCTCCCCTGGCTCTCAAACCCTGCATCCCCCAAACCCTGAAGCTCGAAACCCCGATGCGCCCGACGCTCCTCCGCTCGACTTTGAAGGAGTGACCGCAGCGATCGCGGCGCTAGCGGGCGCCGTGCGCGCGCTGCCGGAGGAAGACGATTTCCACTTCTACTGCAACTTCGCCGCATTCCGCGCGCGCGTCTCCGCACTCCGCCACCGCGTGCGCGCGCTGCTCTCCCGTCTCGGCCCGCCTGCGCCGCCCGCCGCATTGGCTTCCGCCGCAGGTGACCACGATGACGATGACGCTGACGTGGACGATGTTTATGATTGGCTCGTCGATGTGCTGGATAACCGGCTGGAGAAGGTCGACGTGGCACTTGACGAGATGCGGAAAAAGCGGAAGAAGGCGCAACCGGATTGGCAGGGGCTGGAGGAAGAGGAGGCGGAGCAGCGGCGGGAAGCGCTTCTGCGCGAAGCAGGGTCGTTCGGCTCTGGCCTCGCGGACGCCGCCTTTTCCGCGCCCAAGGGGGGCGGAAAGCCGCAAGCTGGCGGAAGCATGCCGGCTGCGGAGATTGCCACGTCAGCAAACAGCTGGCGGCGCAGCTTGCGCGGGAAGAACCGGCCGCAGGACGAGTTCGAGCCGCCTGTTGACAACTCGGACGCGCCGCTCTCATTGCCGCGCCTCGAGTTCATCGAGGCGATCCGGCGCGAGGCGGAAGCGGAAAGTCCCGGGGAGGAGAGCGCGGAAGAAGAGGGAAGCGGGGGCGGGCGGGGAGGGGGGGAGTTAGAAGAAGGGGAGGAGGTTTCGGAAGGAGATGGGGTAAATGAAGGTGCGGAGGGGGAGAAGATCCGCGGAAGGGGAGAGGGGAGAGGCAGGGGGCCTCCGCGGCTGAAGTGGAGAGTGTTGAAGGAGCGCCATCCGTTGTGGGTGAGTATCTTCCTGGGTACAGGGTTCGGGGTTCAGGGTTTCGGGTGGTTCTGAATTTCGGGTTCCGTGTTCTGGGTTCAAAGTTCGGGGTTTTGGATTTGGGGTTCTGGGTGTAGGTTTTGGGGCCTTTGTAATCTTACAACTGCCTTGCGGAAACGTTATTCTTGCTTCACATTGTCACCCCAACTCAGCTTCTCGTTGTTCGTTCTTCTTACCCTCCCTTCTCCCTCTCACCCCTTGACCTCTCCTCTCCTTGTACTAAACCATCCCTCCACCACTCCAAACCCCCTCCAAACCCCCACCCACCCCTCTGTTTCTTGCGTACACCAATCCTTCCCAGCACCGCCTTCGCCACATCACCTACCAGCCCTGGCAGCTCTGCCCTCCGAACCTGCTGTCCCGAGCCACCACCACCAAACCAACCCCAGGCTCGGAACCACACCACCGACTGACCCCCCCACCTCCCTTGGAAGACACACCCTTCGCATACATCGAAACGCGAGAGCAGCTTGCGTCAATGGCGGAGGAGATTCAAGGCGAGAGGGAGGTGGCGGTGGATCTGGAGAATCACAACTACCGCTCCTTCCAGGGCTTCCTGTGCGTGCTGCAGCTGTCCACCAGGAGGAAAGACTATGTGGTGGACGCTATATCCCTGCGCGCACACATTGGACACCTGCTGGGGCCCATGTTTGCGGATACTCGCATTGTGAAGGTGAGACCTCGAGAGCCACAGCTACTGGGTCAGGTCCTTCCAGGGCTTCCTGTGCGTGCTGCAGCTGTCGGCCAGGCGAAAGGAAAAGACTATGTGGTGGACGCTATTGCATTGCGCGCACACATTGGCCCCCTGCTGGGGCCGATCTTTGCTGACACACATCTTGCCGATCTTTGTGGTGGTCAAGGTGAGATGCATGAGGGTTGTCTTGCAGGCGGGGGGGGGGGGGGGGGGTTGGAATCGGAGGGTTTGAAGAGAGGGAGGTGGCGGCGGATCTCGAGAGTCACAACTGCCGGTCCTTCCAGGGCGGGGAGGGTTGGAATCGGAGAGATTGGCAACTACCGCTCCTTCCAGGGCTTCCTGTGCGTGCTGCCCTTCCCCACCTTTCCCCCCGTTTCCCCCCTTCTTCTTGCCCCTCCCCCCCACCACTCCCCCCCACCCTCCAACAGGTGATGCACGGAGCAGACAGCGACGTGGTGTGGCTGCAGAGGGACTTTGGCATTTTCATCGCCAATCTCTTTGACACGGGGCAGGCCTCAAGAGTGCTGGGCTTGGAGCGCTTCTCCCTGGCGCACCTGCTGCAGCGCTACTGCGGCGTGACGGCCAACAAGAGCCTGCAGATGGCGGACTGGCGCGTGCGGCCGCTGCCGAGTGACATGCTCAAGTATGCGAGAGAAGACACGCACTACCTGCTCTTCCTGCACGACTGCCTTCGGCTGGAGCTTGCTGCTGCTTCTGCCAGTGATGGTGGTGGTGATGGTGCTGCTGCTGCTGCTGCTGCTGCTCAGGCTGATGGGAGGATGGATGAAGGGAAGGCTTGCGGTGAGGAGAAGGAGGAGGGAGAGGAGGAGGACGAGGAAGGGGAGGTGCATGATGATGATGAGGAGGAGGATGAGGAGGAGGAGGAGGAGGAGGAGGAAGGGCTGAGGCAGGAGGGGAGGAGGGAGAAGGGGGTAAGCAGCAGGGGTGTGGCAAGCCGTGCCCTGCTATACTAGAGGCAAGTGGTATCCCAGATGTTCTTTTATTTACTCCTCTGCCTGTTTAGTCCCTCTCCTGACGTGTCAGAAGCTGGTCTTCTCGCCCCGCGCCCATTGTCCCACACCCATCGCCCCGCGCCCATCCCCCCTCGCTGCCCATTGCCGTCCTTAGTCCCTTGGCCCCTCGCCCCCTGCAGGTGCTCGCTCGCAGTAGGGATGTGTGTCTGCTGCTCTCCTCCAAACCAAACCACAGCACGCATCGCCCCCTCTTACCTGTCACTTCTTCTGCGCCCCCTCTTACCTGTCACTTCTTCTGCGCCCCCTCTTACCTGTCACTTCTTCTGCGCCCCCTCTTACCTGTCACTTCTTCTGCGCCCCCTCTTACCTGTCACTTCTTCTGCGCCCCCTCTTACCTGTCACTTCTTCTGCGCCCCCTCTTACCTGTCACTTCTTCTGCGCCCCCTCTTACCTGTCACTTCTTCTGCGCCCCCTCTTACCTGTCACTTCTTCTGCGCCCCCTCTTACCTGTCACTTCTTCTGCGCCCCCTCTTACCTGTCACTTCTTCTGCGCCCCCTCTTACCTGTCACTTCTTCTGCGCCCCCTCTTACCTGTCACTTCTTCTGCGCCCCCTCTTACCTGTCACTTCTTCTGCGCCCCCTCTTACCTGTCACTTCTTCTGCGCCTCCCTCGCCCCCTTGCCCCCCCTGCATGTGTTGAAGCGCAGTCGCGACGCGACGTGTGTCTGCTGCTCTACTCCAAGCCCCAGTGTGCCCCACACAGGCCCTGACAGCCCCTCTCAACCTCCGGTCCCCCCTCGCCCCACCGTCCTCGTTATTCACCCCTCTCCCCTTGCCCCCCTGCAGGTGTTGAAGCGCAGTAGGGACGTGTGTCTGCTGCTCTACTCCAAGCCACAGCGCGCCTTCCACTCGTTCCTGCGCAACAACAGGTGACCCCGACTCTCATTGCAGTTCGCACTGAAATCGTATGCTCCTTGTGTTTTTCTATTCCATTTTTGTGCGTGCTCTGTTCTCTTTTAATAAATTATTATCCAGTTTATCTCCCATGTAATTCTACCCGTCTCGCTTCGCTCACAGGCTCAGCACAAAAGGCTTCAGGGAGGCCTCGTCGTAGGCCTCGTGTAGGCACTTCTTTTATATCAACTGATTTATATCCCATGTTTGAATGCACTTCTTTTTTCCTTTGTAGGCTCAGCACAGAGGGCTTCAGTGAGGAGCAGATGGCCATTCTTTCTGTAAGCCATGCATATCTCCTTTACTCCTTTTTTTTTTTTCTTTCTTTATTTCTTCTTTCTTTTTTGTTTGTTGTCTGTGATGCGCTTTTATTCCATGTTCGCACAGAAAGTGCTCCTGCATGCACGTTTTCTCCACCTGCGCCCCCCTCTATCCCCCCCTTCCCCCCGTCTTTTTCCTGCTAGACCGTCGCTCGCTGGCATTGCTTACATGCCTTTCTGTTTCGCTTATGATTGCTGCAATGCCGCGCTGTTACATGCTACGCCATGCTTGGCATGCCAACTCATGCTACCATTCCGTCCTCGATGCCATGTCACCATGCCACGTCACGTCATCACCATCAGGCGCTGTACACGTGGCGCGATCAGACGGGCAGGGAGTACGATGAAGGGCTGGGATACGTCATGCCCAACCACCTGCTGCTCAAAGTCGGTGCGTTGCCACCCTATGGCTGCAACGGGTGATTGCTTCGCGCAATTCCTTTGCATGATTGGCCTGCACTGCACAAAGCCCCTCATCACTCAGATGATCAGATCACAGGGATGGGTCATGTTACTCACTTGGAATCTGGTCAGTTCTGCCTTCTCTTCTGCTCTGTCTGAAAGCGTTTGAAATCCCGTCTCTGCGTCTGTAAGCCCCGTTGCTTTGCTTCTCTTCCCCACTCTCCCTCACTCATTCCCATCCAGCACGTGACATGCCCACCACCGAGCGTGCTCTCCGAACCTGCCTCCGAGGCTCGGCGCCCCTTGTGGCTCGAAACGCTGCCACTATCACCCGGATAATCGGCCAGATAAAAGATTCTGCTGACCTGGCAACCTCCACTCTAGAGTCGCCAGCTGTCGTGGCAGCATGGCATGCTGCCACGTCAGCCAAAGACCCATTTGCTCCTGGCACTCCTGCTGCTGCAGCTGCCGCCGCTGCTGTTGCTGCTGCTGCTGCCCGTGCCGCTGCCGCTGCTGGTGTGAGTGCTGCTGGTGCTGGTGCCCCTAGTGCTGGCGCTGCTGTCACTGCTGGTGTGGATGTCCCTTCAACAACTGCCATAGCTGCATCTGCAGCACCGGTTGCAGCACCGGCTGTAGCGAAGGTGAAAGTGAAAAAGGCTGCAGCAAAGTCTGGGTTTGGGGCACTCCTGGGGCAAAAGCGGCCTGCTAAAGCTGCAGGAGCAGCGGGAGGAGCAGCTGGAGCAGCTGTAGCAGCTGGAGCAGCTGTAGCAGCTGGAGCAGCAGGAGCAGCTGGAGCAGCAGGAGCAGCAGGGGCAGCAGGAGCAGCAGGAGCAGCAGGGGCAGCAGGAGCAGCAGGAGCAGCAGGGGCAGCAGGAGCAGCAGGGGCAGCAGGAGCAGCAGGAGCAGCAGGGGCAGCAGGAGCAGCAGGAGCAGCAGGGGCAGCAGGAGCAGCAGGAGCAGCAGGGGCAGCAGGAGCAGCAGGAGCAGCAGGGGCAGCAGGAGCAGCAGGAGCAGCAGGGGCAGCAGGAGCAGCAGGAGCAGCAGGGGCAGCAGGAGCAGCAGGAGCAGCAGGGGCAGCAGGAGCAGCAGGAGCAGCAGGGGCAGCAGGAGCAGCAGGAGCAGCAGGAGCAGCAGGAGCAGTAGTAAAGCCCTTGGCGAAGCTTCAGAAGACGGATGGAGTTGCTGCGAAGGAAGACCTGGCGGCACGAGTTCGGGCTGCCATGGGGATTGTGCCGCAGCCAATGGGATCGAAGGAAGTTGCTTCACGGGCAGGTGAAAAACATGCAAGTGCGGAAGATGAAGGGGGGCTGGCAGCTGAAGAAAGGGGAGAAGGGGGTAATGGGGGAGAAGCAGAGGGAGGGAAGGCGGAAGCAGGAGAGCTAGGGGGAGCAGGGAAGGAAGGGGGAGCAGGGAAGGAAGGGGGAGCAGGGAAGGAAGGGGGAGCAGGGGGCAGAAAGCGGCAGCGGCTGGCCAAGTCTCCGGCTCATGTGGCTGCTGCAGTGGCGGCAGCAGCAGCAGCAGCAGCAGCAAGAAAAGCCGGAAGTTTGGCAGAGGGCGAAGGGGGCGGAAGCGGAGCAGGAGTGAGTGGTGGAGTTGAAGCAGGGGGGGATCTGCCGGCCCCTCTGAGTGCTGCCTTTGATGCTGAGGAAGGCAGGCGGGCACAGAGGAAAAAGAGACGCATGCTCAAAGCTGCTGCCGCCGCCGCCGCTGCTGCTGCTGCTGCTGCTGGTGGTGCTGCTGGTTCTGCCAGTGGTGATGCTGCTGGTGCTGGCACTGGGGCAAGCGATGGTTCTGGCGCTGATGCCGGTGCTGGTGCTGGTTCTGCCGCAGAGGGGAGTGTTGGTGTCGAGGGCAAGGCATCAGCACAGTTACAGTCACAGCAGCCGCGTAAGCAGGGTGCTTCTGGTGGTGGGCAGCGCAAGGACCTTGTTTCAGAGGCGTTTCAGAGAGCCGCAGAGGGGGAAGAGAAGCGCAAGAAGAAGAGGAAGAGTGGAACGGGAGGAGGGTTGTGGGGTTCGGACTCAGAGGAGGGAGAGGAGGAGGAGGGGCTCCGCATGGTGCATGACAGTGAAGACGATGATTCTGAGGATGATGATGATGGTGATGATGGTGGTGGTGGTGTTTTCGGTGGCAACGATCCCGGTCAGCAGCAAAAGGAGGACCAGGAAGGATTCGCGCGGCTTGAGATTTATGATTTCTCGGCTGAGAAGGAGGAGTTTGGGCTGGATGCGCAGCATGTGGCGGCCAGTGAGGCTCTGGCGCTGGGCCCTTCGGCAGACAAGAAGAAGTGGAACAAGCGTGGGGCTCCCAAGTTCTCTGTGCCGCTGCCTGCAGCAGCTGCTGCCTCCGCTGGTGCTGCCGCTGCTGATGCTGGAAAGGAGGGTGGTGGGGGTGAGGGAGGGCGTGGGAGTAAGAGTGCGGTGTTTGATCCAATGGCTCCGATCGCGGCAGGTGCTGCAAAAAGGGGCTTGGCTTATGACGCGCCGAGGGGCGGGAAGAGGCCGCAAGTGTTTCCTACATCTGGAAACAGGAGTGCCACGTTTATGGATTAATGCAGGCAGAGCGGTGCTGGTGCAGCTAGTTCCACGGTTGATTTTGGGTAGTGTTACGGCATAGTTGGGGAGTGGAGCGGAGTTGAATGGGTTAGAAGTGTTGGGGGTAGGAACTTTCTAAATGCCTGAGGCATAAGCTGCCTTGAACAAGTGTTTGCTTTGCGAGGGTGTATTGACCTGCGTCCTAGCTCTCACTTCACGAGAAAATGGTGATTGCGATGACCCAATCGGATTTCTGGCGCTGAGTTGACTGTGAGCTGGGCGACAGGCTGTGTCGAGGTGGTGGGCAGCAGGCCTGTCGATTCAAGGGCATATGCCCTTAATGCCCTGAACATTAAGGGCTAGTTTCGCTCCAGCTCCAATGCGTCAAGTTTTAGATTCGCACCCCACCCGTGCCACTAAGTGCTTCGTTCGACCCTTCCCCGGATGCGT